TTATATATTACCTTTTTCTGGACCAGTCGCCGTGGCGATAATCTCTCTCAAACTCTTGCAGTCTACTACTTCAAGGTGAAGAAGCTTCACCAGACCATTAGCCAAAGAGGATGAGAACAGATATTTTAAATCACTACACGACACAATGATCAATTTCGTAAGGTTCCGAACAGATTCAAGTGTTGCTAAAGTGTTCCATATCCTGTCAATCTTAATATCAGTTAACTGCAACTCCTCAAGCATTGGAAACGCAACCTGCACATGAACATACAATTCGCTTTTTTCTTGAGAAAAGCTTACTTTTTTGGTAAATAATATTCGACAAAAGCTTATTGTTTTGTTGATAAATTAAGGAAGAAAAATATTGTAGTTGTAGACAGAAGGCTTAGAGAGGACATTAATCAATATTTCATAAGGTAGCAATATATGAATAATTGTTTATATAATTTTTTGATATAAGTTTTATATATTATTAAATAAATAATTACATATAATATTATAGGTCTTAAATAAATAAATAAATAATTATTTATTTAAATACACATAAAATTAGACTAAAAATTGGTAAAAAAATATCCTCTCAATCATTTTCCTCTTCAATGTTCCAAAGATGTTTGAAATGGTCAACCTAAAATGAATAATTGTATATAATCTACCCATTTTTTCCCCATCATGTTATTTCCTTTTATTAAGAAAAAGGTACATGAGACACTTTACTCCAATATTTGTCTCTTAATTATAATTTGATCCAAGGAAGGCAACTATAGTAATCATATATATATACTTGCAGCATCAAAATTTTGGTTAAATACTGCTTGCTACACACTATATTTCAATATATTTATTAAAAATATTATATTTTAATTTAAAATTAAAAATAAATAAATTTAAAAATATTATCATGCATATAGACATAAAGATTATTAAATTTATTATATTTATATTATATTTTAATAATTTAACTAAAATGCGTATTAAAAAGCATGTTAAAATGAGCGTGTATCAACCATTTTCTCTTTGGTTATTATAGCCTCAAACTTGCACCACCCATTATTCTTTGGTCTTATTTTTAAATTTGAGTAAAGAAAATTCAGAATAGTTAAACTTTAATCTTGTTAATTTCTTACTAAATTAACAAATGAACGTGAGGCATGTATATATTTTATTTCTTTGAAAAATATGTATTTTTAATTCTTTACTAATATAAAATAAATATTAAATATTAAACCTTAATTAACTATTTTTAATTTTGTATGAAAGTTTTTTAAATTTGATTTATTTTTACTATTTAACTACAAAATAACCACTACTGCCAATCAAACAATCAAACAAGCCCATCATTCAATCTCTTATACATGCCATAAAAAAGTTGTGGGATAACTTGAAAAAAATTAAAAAAATTAAAAAAATTAAGCAAATAAATAAATTAAATACCTTTTCATTGAAAAGTGGAATGCATCTAAAGCTTGTTAACCGACTCCCTCCTTGATCTGTGATGCTGCTATTCTTTTCTCGGCAGAAACTAATAAAGTTCGGCAGTTTTTCTAATCTCATGGACCGTACTTTGCCAAGCTCAATTTTTGTAGCTGCTTCCTCAATCTCACAGACGGTTACTTGGGCCTCCTCAGCAACAATCTCTTCAACGTTCTCACAGTCTTCCAAACTAATTTCTTGGAGTTGGAGAAGCTGTTTCACTAAAGAGAAGGAGAACAAATTCTTGAGCTGATGACAACATTCAATGGTTAAGATTCTTAATTTGTTAAAAGATGTTGCTCCAAGCACGTCCAGTTCACGACATATCTTCTCCATTTTTGTCAAATTCTGAAGAACCAACTCCTCCAAGACTGGAAATGCATTGCTACAGACCAACCTCTCTGAGTCAATCATAAATTGAATCTCTGGAGCATTTCGGACATAGAGATATCTTAGTTTCTGAAAACCTTTATTGTCTAACTGATAAACCACATTCTTAACACCATGCAATCCCTCTAAATGCAGTTCTTCAGAGACTTTTAATAACTTTATAACTGAACTATAAGAACTGCCTGCTTTCAGTTCCAGCTTCAGTATTTTTGAATTTTCAGAGGGACTCCCCCGATGCTTCCACAAATCTCCTATAAAAATTTTGTATCTTCTAAATTCTGCATTAAATAAGCCTTCTGGGATCATTTGGATATCATTTATACAAACCTCTAAAGTAGTCAATTTCTGCAAATACTTCAACTCAACAAGGCTAGCATTTCCATTTTGATTTTGGTGCTGCTCGATAAACTGCCACTGGTCAAAGCTGTTGGCCATTTTTATCTCCTCTAGCCTAGACAATTTGGACAAGACATCCGGTGAAATTACTCTGAGGCTGGTGCAGTCACTCATATCTAGCAACTTTAACCTCGTCAAGCATGCAAATTCCTTTGGCAGCTCAGTAATATCACATCCAGCAAGGTTGAGGACATGCAAGTTCTTCAGCTTTCCTATAATCTCTCCCATGCCTTCTATTACTCCCAACTTACTTTGATTGAGACGCAACGTTCGAAGGTTTGTTAGGAGGGAAATTGATTGAGGCATCGGTGAGAAATGCATTTTAGTCAAACTCAAGACTCTGAGGTTTTTCATTCCCTTGAAAAAATCTGCTGGGACTGTAGTTTCTGAAAAAGGATACCTGTTAGACAAATGTAAGAAAGTAAGTTGAGGACATTGTACCTGTTGACACCCTCCTTCTGTGTTTTGCACCGACTCCAACTCTTGAAGAAGTTGACTAATATCAGCATTTGACAAATAAATCCACTTGAGTTTTTTCATTGCCTCCTCGTCTGGCCACACCTCTGCTGCATCTTCATCATTGGAAGCTAACACGCCTCTATCCCTAGAAGCAATTGATGTAGCAGCAGCCCGTACAGCATCTTGCATGTCGAATTGCACATTGCTGGGACCATCAAGTAACAAAGAAGAGCCTTTGAGATTACCCACCAACGTGCGTGCTGCATCTCGGGCATCCTCTATTTTGTTGACTTCTGGGAACAGTTTCAAGCCTGTACCATATTCCATTAAGTCTTCAATGGACGTATTATGACCCAGTAGACAGCAAAGCAAGAAAGTTTCCTTTAGTGCTTCGCTTTCCAACTGACTAAAACTGAACTCGATAGCTGAACAAACAACAGCATATCCCCCGCCCTTAGAGGTCTTGATTTCTTTCAGTAGATAACTCCAACCATCATCATTCTTTCCTCTCAAAGCCACTGCCATTTTTTCAATGGCAAGCGGCAGCCCGGAACATCTGTTTACAATCTCATTAGCATTCGACCAGCGGGATTCAGAGTTCTCAATGTCATCTTCAATTCTCAACTTAAACAACTCCATAGCCTCATCATCTTCCAACTTGTTAACAGGGAAGATGTTATCATTTTTAACACCCATCTTTTCTGATAGAACTTTAGGATCTCTGGATGTAATGAAAACCTTACACTCCTTTTGTTCTTCCCTTGATGAGCTCTCCTTATTCTGTTGGTCTGCTACAGGACGCTTCTGCTTGGTTCCAGAAGGAATTCCAAGATCCTCCAAATCTATTTTCTCCCAAACATCATCCAAAATTACAAGTGCATTCATTTTTTTCAGCCCTTCATTTATTCGATCAGCAACTTGCTCAAGTGTGAGTTCCTTAGGAAGATTAAACATACCCAAGCCACGTGCGATTTGATACTGAAATTTTGCCAAATCAGTATTCCTTGTCACTTTAGCCATAAGCACAACATCAAACAACTTCTCTTCCTCAGCTTTTCTTTTAACTTCCTTCACAAGCATTGTCTTCCCCATGCCAAGCATCCCGTGCACCCCTATTATGTTAACAGTTGGGCTTCGTAGTGCCTTCATGATCTTGTTCAACACCTCGCTTCTTGATTTAAATTCAACAAAACCATCCTGTGCACCCCTACCTCGTTTAATACTTTCTTGTTTTTGAACATGAAAGTAGGATATGATCATGCCAGTGTTGAACTGGACAGCCTCTTGCATAAGTTGATCAGCAACCCCGGCATACTCCTCTGCTTTCTTGCTTAGATCATAGAGAGACTTCGGATTAGAACACCGCCCAAAGCAATGCTTCCTCCGTGCTTTGCATTCTAATTTCTCTAATTCCTCTCGGCTTCCACTGATGTGCTTGTCCACTTCACTCATCCACTGCCTTACCTCCTCCAAAATCTCCTCCCCCCTTTGCTGAGCTTCATAAACTCTGTGCTGCAGGTCCATTTTCCTAATGGCCAGCTCACCCAATTTAGCCTTCAGCTTCATAACATTTTGCTTACACAAGTACAGAGCAGTGATTGGATATATGACAAGGTACGTAACAACTGAATCAAAAACCTTGTCAAAAACTTTGCTTGCAAAGCAAGAAAGACTTACAGAATCACCCATCTTACTGATCTTTCAAAATCCAAATAAATGAATGGATGGTGCAGTAATGATCAGTTTGTGATAATAGAAGTGGAAAATTATGATTTTTTTGGGCTTCTTTTGATAAAGGGAATGTAAAGAGCAGGAAGTATAGAAGGGAAAAGGGAAATTAAATGGAGTACAAGAAACAACAGAAGCAAATGAGTCGAAAGCCTTGGCCAAACTCTAATTCTTTTTTTCTTTTTGGAGTTTTAGAATATAGAGACAGAAAATAAACGAAGCAAATGAGTCAAATAAACATTAATGAGAATAACACAAGAACTGAGGTAAAGATAATGAGGTGGGATGAACTGATTTTTGCGAAGGGGTGTGAGGTTAATCAGATGCAGAGAGTAGCAGAAGAGGATGGTGAAGAAGGATTAAGCATGAGACAATGAAGGAAAAATGTTGAATGAGAGCAAATGAAATGATGAGAAACTGAAAGATGATGGCAAAGATTGGGGAAGGTATAGCTGAGATTAATCAAACAATTTGATGGCAAAGATTGAACGGGGTACACTGAACGAGTTGTTTCAAGCAGAAGAAGGATGAAGTTGATGGCCAAGATTATTTGAGGAAGGCAAAAGGGCACGCTTTGCTTCAATAACAGGGAAACCCAAAGGTGTAGACATATTGAAGAGTAAACTAGTATCCAAGAATAAAGTGATTTTCCAAAGGAAAACGCAATCCCTGTCATTGATTTTGTAAGAATAAAGTGATTCCAGGTTTTGTAGTCATATATAATCATGATCAATGGATGAAGAATGTGCAAGTCTTAAAAGTTGTAACCTCACAAAAATTATGGCGGCCATCGAGATATTAATTAATCCTTTCAATCATTGAAATGCATTTTATTATTTAAACAACAAACAAAGAAAACCAGATATGTGAATCGACCCTTTGACCTAATGATCTATTCTCATACCTAAGTACTTAAATGCAGTTGGTCGAGATTTCAACTCCCATCAATTATTTGAAAATTTTTCCTTAAAAAAAAAAAAAAAAAAACCCTGATATGCCTTTCTTCAGTAATGCAAGAGCTGCACTTCTTACAGTATTCAACAACGTAATGCAAGAGGATCAAGCATTGAATTTCGATACTGATGCATTTCTTCTGAGTTTAGCATCATCAGAATTTGGACTTTTGAACTCGTTTACTCTAATGGTTGAAGGGACTCACCATTGTTGAACAACTTTTTCTAAAAGTTGTCGCACTGTATGAATGGTTCTAGCTAGTTTTAATACTGGAATTAACATATAAATAAAGGATAACAGTAAAAAAGAAATAAATGAAAAAATGAAAAAGAAGAGAATGTTTAAGTAAAACTAACCTGCAATATATTTTACGTGCATATTCAGTTCACAACTCGAGTTTCATTTTTACTTTAACATAAATAAATTGAGGTCAATATCAAAAATTGTGCCATTAATCAAATTACTTGTAAAAGAGAACTTGTGTATTTACAATAACATTTTCTTCTACTAATGCTCCAAATAAGACAGTAGCAACTAGGCAAAAATGGATATATTTACGCTATACTTTAAGAGATAATCTAAATAAACCTTTATACTTTTTTTTTTTAAATAAATCTCCTCTTATATTTTAAAACATAATAAAAAATTAACCTACAATTGAAATAAAGTAGCCAAAATTTAATAGAAGATATAATTCTACATCATCATCCGTCTTTCCCCTTCAATACCGTTACATGTTTGCTGATTTGGAAATTTTGAGCGCATTTTTCTAATCACATGACATATTATTTATTGGTTGGACAAAACAAGAAATTACACCTGCTCATTTTGTCCCACCTATAAAAAAAGGTTGCATCATCATAAAAATGAGGTCAACATTGTCAAATCAGTTAGCACTTAACCAATATTGAAAGGGAAAGACAAAACACATATGATTACATCAACAGTTAAATTCTCATTAACTTATTTCAACAGAAATGTAAAAGGGCAAATTTCATCCAACCTAAAAAGTACAAAGGGAGGTTTAGTTCATAAAAAGCACAGGAGATTCATTTCAATAATTATTAAAAGTAAAAAGATAAATATACCATTTTCATGTACCAACTACATGATCAACTTTTATGGTTATTTAAAAGTTAGGATTTAACTAGCCAATTCAATTATAAGAATCTATGGCACTAAACAAAGCAATTAGGATTTAATTGAAAAGTGTTCGTGGCAAATTAGGATTATACCAAGAGGGAACAGTGTGATGCTAGGAAGATAAAACATTAAAAGCAGTAGATCTTTAAACCAATTACAAGCAACCACTTATGTCAAATTAGTTGTCCATGTTCTTGAAAAAGAGTTAAGGTTATTTTCTATGTTAATAAAAATTACTTAAGCTAAAAGCTTAAATTGATAATTAAGAAACTTAAGTTAATGTCGAAGAATAAAGTGGGTATCAAAAGGCAAAAACCCTATGTTAAATCCCAAACTTACCCTAAATTCTCAATTAATCTCTTAGACTTTTATTAAACCAAATAAGCCCTTAAACTTGTCAATTATAGCAATTTAACCCTCTTTCTTGTGGTAGACATAACACCCATTTGTCCTTTACTTGTATGGACAAAGTCAATACCCGCCACGTAAGCAATGATATGTCAATACATTGTCAACGCAAGTAATGTACAAACAAACATTAAGTCCACCATAAAGAAAAGAGGTTAAACTGCCTAGATCACCAAATTTAGAGGCTTATTTTGCTTCAATAAAATCTAGGGGGTTAATCAAGAATCTTGAATAAATTTGGGGATTTAACATAGGGTTTTGCCTTATTAAAATACATTTCTAAAGCAACAAATGAACCATAGCTTATGTAATTATTTGCCAAGGTTCCAGAAGCCAAGCTTGTTGCCGAAATGAAGTGAATGCTTTGTAATCATGAATCGTTATTGTAATGGCTTGCATCCCTCTTCCAAAAAAATTGCTTAATCAAAAGAATTGCTTATTCAATTCAAAGGGTTTACCATCCTTAAACCGGTAGCCTAGCCAAAGAATAATGCAATACATGCTTTGCTCAAAAAACCAAATGGACAAGGCCAATTTTTTTTTGTTTTTTCGAAAGGCTTAAGCAGGTTCTAAAGAAGAAAGTAAAAACTTAATTTCATGCTTTACCCAAAGAACAAGTTAATTACAGCTCACAGACTTGATAAGGGTTTAAAAAAGAGAACTAGATACTGCTAATGGAGGGAAAAGGTGAAACAAAACAAAACAATGATTTCTCAAAGAATATAAGGTTCTAAGATTTCCACCCAAAAGAATCCATTAATCCAAGCTTATACATGGTTTAATAATAGGTTCAATAAAATAAATTTAAAAAAAAAAAAAAAATTTTTGCCAGGCCCCTAAAATTTTAGTCAAGCTCCATCCTTACTTTTCTTCATTTTTTACTTATCCAATTGAAAGGGGGGAAGGCATGGAAGAAAAATAGAAAGATCTATTTCTCCCAATCCAAATATACCCCTTAGTAATTGTCCTACACTTAGCAAAGAGCATATTTTGACACAAGCGTTATTTATCTAACAACTGAAAGTAATAACATGGCTCATACCTCTTCCATGGAGAAAAGTGGCTGTCCAACGGGGAAATCTGGTCGACCTTGCCCATTTCTTATCTCCACTTCATCAGCACAACCACAATCAAAAACATTCAAGTTTTTTAACTCTGGCCAAAGCGTTATGTGTTTTCTTGGATAAAAATATCTGAGTCTTTGTAGCCTCGTAAGTCTGATGTTCGACAGTTGAGGAAACACAAACTTAAGTGCGGCTTCTGTTCCTTCACACCCCATTGCAACAATTTCCTCCACTCCGCACCCCTCTATTTGTAGCTTTTGGAGTTGTTTAAGGCCTTGGGCTATTGAAACTGGAAACACATTTTTGATACTGGGACAGTCACATACAATTACCGATTCCATATTATGAAAAGTGAGAATTCCTCTGGGATCCTCATTCCACACATGCTTCAAACTCGGCAGACTATTAATCCGCAAATTTCTCAGCGGAGTCTGTACTGGCTCTTTGAGGTTTATCTCTCCCACTTTAAACACCTCTTCTACGGAAGCACAAGAATAAATTGCTAACTTCTCTATGGATTTAAAGATGCTTCCCACCATATCTTTTGTAAAAATTGTCATTAAATTCTCACAATCTCTGACATCCAACTCTTTGAGTTTGCAAAAGGAACCTTGAGGGAGTTGGTTGTGCCATATGATCTTTGTGTTTCTTAAACCATAGAGAATGATGCTTTCCAAGCTGGGAAATGCAACCTGCATAATTCATGCCAACGAGCGAAGGGGATAAGGATAATTAATTCCAAAAGCTAAAGCCAAAACATGCAAGTCAAGAGATGAAAACAATTATACTTGTTCATTGAAGAAGGGCTGTGCGTCATCGGCTTCATTTGTGCTCTTAGATTTAACCATGAATCCCACCAATTCAAGGCACTCAATTATACTTAATCGCTTCAAGGATGGGAATTTAACATAACAAGTGCCTGGGAGAATTCAAATAAAGTCTAGAAGTCAGGGACGGATTTCAAATTTTTTTTCCATCGAGACAAATATATATGAGTAAATTTTATCAAAAAAAAAAAAAAAACCATTTTACATGA